GAACTCGCCATCTTAGGCGTATGTGACTGGCGCCTTAGCCACTTGAGCCGCAGGCGCTGAGCCAACACTCTTCTAATTGACTGTGGTTGGCCCACATGGCCACTGTTGGGGGAGAAATGCAGCATCTCTGTCCTGGCGGTGAGACCATTGCTGGTGCAGCCTTCTGCCCACCAGACTCCCTTGCTCCATTGCTGCCCTTCAGAGCAGACCCTTGGGGAGGAAGGGCCATGCCAGGCCTGGCCAAGCCCCTTGACTCCTAGTGACTATGAGATGATGTCTGTGCAGCTGTCCTGTCCTCAGCTCACCTAGGGCTACATAGGCCACTTATGTTCCTGAGTAACACTGGCTCTGTGTTTCAGAGACACCATGGACAGCGTGAAGCAGAGCGCTGCCTTGTGCTTGCTACGCTTGTACAGAACTTCTCCTGACCTTGTTCCGATGGGTGACTGGACATCCCGAGTGGTCCACCTTCTCAATGACCAGCATTTGGTGAGTGTGCCTGAGCTGACCCCTCTGGTGTGATAGCTGAGGGTGCTGAGCAGCTGCACACAGCGCCTCACGGCTGCATAGTACCACAGAGTAGATGATATGTGGTCCTGTGCAGGAGTGAGGAGCTCTCCCTCCCTGGGTCACCCTGTAGCCCTGCAGAGGTTACCCCGGGCACCAGCTGTGTTGGGTGTGCAGGTGCTATACATACTTGGCACCGAGACTGCGTCTCCTGGAGGCAGCCTCTCCAGGGCTATGGGTCCTGTCTGGGCCCTCTGTCAGTTGGCCAGTTCAGGGCAGTGACAGGGAGTCCTGTGTTTTCCACCCAGGTTTTAGCCTGCAGCCATGTCAACCTACATGACCACTGCACAAGCCAGGCCCAGTGGCTGCCCCACCTCATGGATGAGGGACAGAAGGGTCCAGGCCCAGTGGCTAACCACACTCTGTGTGGGCCACATGAGGGCATGGAGCTGGCGGGGTGGGCACCGGGCACTGCACAGTTGTCCCCTTGCCTGGCAGGGGCAGGGGCAGGGGCAGGTGTGGGTTGGAGTTGTCTTGTCCTTGCTGCTTCCTCTCTGTAATGAGAGACTTGAAGTCCACACGCACAGGCCCTTACTGCTGAGTTGATATTCTTTTTTTTTTTTTTTTTT